TGTGGAAAATAATGTGTTTTTTTAACTTTAAACTGCATAAACACATTTCATTACACCAAATACACAAAATAATGTTCTTTTTAGCAACATCATATGACCCCTTTAATTACTTTCTCAGTCAACTAAATCTTATTCTCAGACTGCTTGCCCACAGTGTTATATTAGTATTATTTGTATACTATTATAGAATGTATTAATATTTAGATTTAGCTTTTGTCTTGATATTTTCATTATTTACTAATTAATTTTAGTAATTTCGTCATGTGCTTGTCATTGTATTAATATTTTGATTTACATTCTAAATGTAAAAGAATAGCAGAGTCCATGCAACTACTATAACAAAAACAACACATACATACATATAATAAACAGAATGTAATCGTTTATTTTATTTTATTTTATTTTATTTAACCAGGCAAGTCAATTAAGTTCTTATTTTCAATTACAGCCTGAGAGGAGAATTAATATCTCCTGAGAAACATACAACAAACATACATTACAGTACATAAAACACATATATATATATATATATATATTAAAACAAAGAATCTCAGTTAAAACATTTATAGGTTGAGGTAAGAGCACTGGCTAGTAATTTTTCAAATGCACATACCGGAATAATATGCACATACTGCATTATATCGTGCTTTGGTGTGGACGTTGATACAGTTATCGCTACAGTTATCTTTATAGTTATTGTCTTGGTGAGAACAGGCCTTAAATGATGACAAATTGTTCATTTTTGGGTGAACTGTTCCTTTAACCAGACCACTAGGTTTTTGATTATATGCGCTCTTCATTTCAAAGCTAATGTAGTCCACTAACCGCTGACGTACGGCCCCAGGGGCATCTGGCTGTAGTTCACCATCGCAGTGCCTCCAGGTCCACGGAACCCTCCGGCAAAACCGCTATTATACATCTGAGAACAGCCGAAAGAGCCCTGAGGGAAAGGCTGGGGAGGGGAGATGAAACAGAACATTCTTATATGAAGGTTCATCCACATGAGGCCCATCTATTATTCATCTTATATGGATTACACATATGGCAAAAGACGTGTCACGCTGACCTGCTGAGGTGGCGGCTCGTTGCCCCGGCTGGTGAGTCTGCTGAGGATGCCCCGCTCTGACATCTGGAGCCGGGCGGACACGGGTGGGACCCGCGAAAGCATGGAGGGCAACCGCGTCACATCAGCCTTCATATCGCTTAACAGCTCCTCCAGCTGATTCAACACTGAAACAACACCAGTGAACATCAAAGAAAAAAAGGTTGTTTTGTTTTGAAATAAATTAATATTCACTTTGCACTTAAAGTATTCATTATTACTAAAAGTATTCAGCTAGGATCCATTAAATCGATTAAAAGTGACAGTAAAGACATTTATAATGTTGAATTTTTTCAATTAATCAAAGAATCCCCCAAAAAAACAAAGCATTCACAAAACTATTAATCAGCACAACTGTTTTTAACTTTTTTTTTTTAAACATTAATAATTTTACTTGGCATGGATGCATTAAATTGATCAAATAGGTAGTAAAGACATTTAGAATATTACAAAAGATCTATATTTCAAATAAATGTTCTTTTAAACTTTCTTTTTTAAAAGTATACTGGAAAAAATGCATCACATTAAGCAGCACAACATAATAATATTGATAATAATAAGAAATGTTTCTTCAGCAGCAAATCAGCATATTAAAATGATGAAGGCTCATGTGACACTGAAGACTGAAGAAAGGCTGCTAATAATTCAGCTTTGCCATCAGAGGAATTAATTACATTTTAAAATATATGACAGAAACAGTTTTTTTTTTTTAACTGTATTACTATTTCACTCTATTGTTGTTTTTACTGTACTTTTGATCAAATAAATCCAGCCTTGGAGAACATAAGAGAATTGACAAATCGTTTGAACAGTAATGTACATTTAGTTTATGTTTGGTTGATAAAGCTATTGTTATTAACAGCAAGCAACATGGGGCAGTTCCAAGCATTAGGGTGTTTATTATATTTTTAGAAAATGACCTTTGTGCAGCACAGCATTGGCTGGCTTGTTACCAGCCAGTGACTCTTTGGAGAGGTGCTGATGGGACTCAGCCAGGCACTCCACCTCTGTGAAACGTGTGTTGAGGGCCATGGTGGGGTGACTGGGATCCTGAGTCATATTCAGGTATGCCGCGCGCCGAAGCTGCTCCTCAATTACCAAAGCCTGTTCCAGGAGCTAAAATGTGAATGAAGAATGTGTGAATATAAAGATTATTTTGAATGAATTCAAATAAAACACACAATAACGTGTACCTTAAAACGTCTGGCAAGAAATTTATTCTTCATTTCTAAGTAGTTCCCTTTGTGCATTTCAGTCTTGAAAGGCTCATTGAGGATGGTGTACCGTGGGTCGTTCTGAATGTCCTGCCAGCGGGCATAGCCATGTCTGAGAGCGCCTGGTTAAAGATTTGCTGCATATACTGAAAATGCTTTACTCAATATTACAATGAAGCACACAACCTGAAGTGGCAAAGATCTTGTACTGGAAAACAGCACTTTAAATGCTGAATAAGTTGGGTGAAATATTTTTGAATATATATACAGTGGTGGCCAAAATGATTAGAACACCAGCATTTTCTTCAGCTAAAAAATGGTTTAAAGTCAGTTATTTCTGCTGCTTTTGCTGTAGTGTGTCAGTAGGAAATATCAGTTTACATTTCCAGACATTCATTTTGCCATTAATTGTAATAATCCAGTCAGTAATTATTTTTTTTTTAGAATAAAAAATGAATACTTTTATTCAGTTTATTCACTTTTATTCATGCATTGAGTTGATCAAAAAAGTAAAGACATTTATAATGTTACAAAATATTTCTATTTCAAATAAATGCTGTTCTTTAGAACCTTCTATTCATTAAATAATCACTTCATAATCAATTGAAATGTTTGGTCTCCTTGTAATTCTCCATTCTATTTATTCAAACAGGCACATCACAATCATTTATGTTCACAACTTCATAAAAGTCCTAAAGAAAAAAAAGAAACCAAAAGAAAAGAAAAGAACAAAAACATTTTGAGATTATTAAAGGAATAATAAGACCGCTCAAATGCGCAATGGAAGGAACAGTGAGGATACGTTACGATGCCAGCTAGCAGCCAGTAGTCATGGCGACGGTGCCAGATGTCGTACATTTTGCCAGATGACACAGCTGCGCGTTCCTCGTTCTGCCATAGCGTGTGTAATTCTGAACACACATAAACACTCAGGCACATCCATGCATTCTTTATCTCTCCTATCATTCACCAGTTTTTAATCTGCTGTCCATGATACAATACGTGACCAATGTGTTGACGCCCGTTGAAGCGAGACAGCAAATCAGAACAACGTCAATAAGACTACAACTCACCTGTGAATCCTCCATCTGCGATGTTAAACATGAAACGAGTCTTGATGCTGTTCTTGTCATCTCTGTGGCTCTCATCCACGTCGTCCCTCGTGTCTTTCTCTCCATTCAGTTGGTTCTCAGGGGGGTCTTCAGATTTTAAATCATCAGGAATGGCTGCAAAAACTAGAGTTTGACAAAGCAGAGAGGCTGGTACTCTACTTTCCATGAATAGGGTACACATTGGTGTTCAGTTCATTTTTTTAAGCCTTAAGGTTTAGATCTTTTTATTATTAAACTGACATAGAAATCTCATTCCTATTTGTACACAAATTTTAGCATTGACAACGTGTCAAGCTTTCATTAATGGGAACAATACATTTATCTAAAAAACTTTATTTTATATTTTTATTTGATCATTTATCAAATGTATATTTATTTTCTAAATGTTGTCTATTAAATTTGGATGTCTGTCTAATTTTTAAAGCTAGAAAAATACATAAATCACAAAAAATCATCTAAACTTAGACATTATTTGATAACAGGGGTTCTGTGCATAAAAAATGCACAGAAAATGAATAAAACAAAACATTTAACAAACAACATTTTCTGAAGTTTGAGCACCTCCTTTGACTGACATTTACATTTGTTGAAAAAAAAAAGGTTTAGGCCCAGTTTTGTACCCATTTAGTGGAAAATGTGTTTTTTAAGGTGCCAATTTGAAGATAAAATGGATCTGGAATCTCGACCACTCCTTTTATTCTGTTTCTGGAAGTATAATAAACAAATACCACAAATACTGACCTGGTTTTTGCTCCTTATCATCTATTTTTGCTGGGCTGGGTTTATTTTCCCCTCTCTCCGGAGAAGTTTCTTTCCCTTTACCACAGTCTTGAATAAACAAAATATTTTAATATTTTGTTTATTGAGAGAAATGTTTTATAGAATCATTATATGCATGGTCTAGAACCCTCACCTAAAGGTGTCTGATTGGCTGACTGCTCACTAGGTTTATTAAGCGGCGATGGCTCTGAATGGACAATTGGGGTGTCATTCTTCTCGCTCTCTTCCATTCCTTTTCCTTCTGGACTTCCACTTTTTGGTTCTTCTCCCTCGTTAGTTTTCTCTGGTACAGTGGAGGGTTCTGGCATAACTGGCTGCTGTAAGAAGATAGAGATTTTAATAAGGACAAGAGAAATAAAAAACAGAAAAAAATATATTTCTGGATGACTTCAGTCTGACCTCAGGGTCCAGCGATTTGGTACTCCCTGGTTCTGTAATCTCCTTGTCTTCTTGAGAACCGGACACTGACCCTGTCTTTTCTGTAAAAACAAATATTATTGTCTCGTTAACCACAAACAACCAGCATTTCATTGAGTAGTGAACATACACACACACACACACACACACACACACACACACACACACACACACACACACACACACACACACACTAGGGCTGGGTTTTGGGACAAATTTCATGATTCGATTTGCTTTTGATTCCCAAGTTTGTGATTCGATTTCGATCTGATTCGATATCAATTATTTTGGATATATATCAGGTACAATATATAGCAAATTTTCTCAAGGGAAAAAAAAAACTAACGAGTCAGGTTGTAATACATGTCAGGTTGTAATACTAACTTTACAATTACATAATTATATTTCTTCAATTTGTTTTTTGAAATATAAACATTTAAATGGTGGCTGTCATAAAAACTTGACAAATTTATTCAGTAAATATTGAAAAACAGTAAAAATTATAATGAATATGTCATATGGTGCATATATTCAGTATAATGAGGTAAATGTGACGTTATGTGACATTCTGTTGTTTACAAGCTGTTATATCGACTTCTTTCCGTGGTTGAAACACTGATTGAGTGACAGATTTTATTGTTTGAACATTGTAAAACAAAATTACAGAATTTGAAATCTGAGACTTTGTTTTATATAAAAAGTAACAAAACACAAAGCTTACTGTGATTTATTGGATGGGAGGCATGCTACAATGTTCCGTTCATTAACTGAAAACAGGCCTGACTAATCGATTTTTGGGATTTAAGAATCGATAATGTTTCGTAAAGATGAGAATCGATTAAAAATGAGAAATATATATTTTTTACCCAGCCCTAACGCATGCACGCGCGCACGCGCACACGCACACGCACACGCACACACACACACACACACACACACACACACACACACACATACACACACACACACGTTGGTATTGGTGGTTTACGGGACTCTGCATAGGCATAATGGTTGTTATACTGTACAAACTGTATTTTTTATCGCCCTACACCAACCCTACACCTGAACCTACCCTTTACAGAAAACTTTGTGCATGTTTAGATTTTCAACAAAAAAAAAAAAAAACACCATTTAGTATGTTTTCTAAGCCTTTTGAATTACAGTACAGGGCAGTGTCCTCATAAACCACCCAAACCAGTGCACACTTTCACACACCTGAAGGAACAGGTGTGCTGGGTTGAGTCGGAACCGGACTGGCAGGAACAGGCGTATTGGGGTCCGATGAGACACTTTCAGTAAGTTTTTTCAGCTCCAATCCCACAGGAATCAAATCTGGTGTACTAAACTTCCCATTCACATGCTCAAACTCCTGAACCTATACACACATTCAAAGTGTTTTGTGTCAAATGTAATCAAATTTAAGCTGCTATTTTATTATTTTATATATATTATTTTATACAAAATAAGTTAAAATGCTCAATTAAAGGCACAATATGTAATTTTCGCCGCTAGAGGGCAATAGACAAAGGCGTAGTTTGATGACGCCGTGACTGAGTGTGGAATCATGGGAGTTGTCGTCTTCATCCCCACAGCCAATGCAATCCGACGGGACTCGGGCAGAAATCTTGTTCATGGATGAGCTAATGATTTATTAACGTAGTAGAATGAAGCAGGGTGAGGCTGAAAGCCGTCGAAGCGAAACGAGGCCGCTGAACGAGCGCGACACGCGGCTCGAAAGCAGCGGAGCTTTTATTATGTCACAGTCGACCACTTCCGCTTCTTCCGGTCGTGCGTATGTGGGGGAAAAAAGCAGCGCTGTTTTATCATACTAGATACCTTTGAAAGTTCTGTTATAATGCTACTCTGTGCGGTCGTCACCGGTCTATTAAAACGCACAACATATTGAAGCGTCTTTGGTGTTTCCATATTTTCTACAAAACAAAACCGGAAATCGAGGGTGTATGACGTCATTGGCAGGCGACACAATGACACTATAGACACGCTCCGTGTCACTAGTTAAAATTGCTT